AGTCCTTAAAGAACTAACTTTTAATATATTGTGACTTTTATTGTGTGCGCTTCTGTTAGCTGCCTGTGGACTATGAGGTTAATTGTAATAGCATTTTTGCTAACTTCATCACTTTTAGCTAATTTATTATACTGATATTCATTAACATACACTGTCCCCAAATCTATATGAAGAAAATAAAAAATAAAATGTCTCCTGACTCATTTTTGTATGAATTATGGGGGAACAAAATAGTCATTTAAAAAAAAACTGTCCACAAAGTCATGTTTTTTTAATTTATTTTCTTCCTGCAGACTATTTAGACTTTTTGTGTTACATTTTGTGTTGGGTTGTAATCTTTACTTGCAAGTTTTTCTTTAAATACCTATTTGTTGAAGTAGAATTGTTGGAAAAAGCCTAAGGACAACAAGAATGTGATTGCCAATGTCTCCAATTGTTGAACATATATGGCAATATATGAAAAGACTTTAAACGAAAAAGAAAAATGACTTACAATGCCCTCATGTTTGTACATTTCCAAAATCTTATTGTGGTTACTCAAATATTTCTCTTTGTCTTTGCTTGCACCACGACATTGTTAACAAAACCACAAAATATAAGCCATGTTTTGTTGTCTGTGTTTTTGGCAATTGATTGTACCCATGGAAACACTAGTCACTGAAGGTTTCACTGATTGTTACCATGGAAACTGGCTATTAGTTCTGAGTTGGCCTCTCACAATGGCTTAGTATTTAAGCTAAAAAAGAGCCAGGACTTTGACCAATTATGGACTACTACATTAATAACAGGACTTTTAGACTTTTAACTTAGAAATGATTGATCTAATATATCATTCCAATTACTTGCACTGTTTCACTATTTCACTTTTTACTATTTATCCTTTTGTATTTACTATTTACTCGCACTATTTTTTTCTGTTTATCTGTTTTATTGTGTTGCACTGTTGGAGGAGCCTGTGACCTAAGATTTTTATCGTCATAACTACACTGTAGCTATGCACGTATGAGCAATAAAAACCTTGAACCTTGAACCTTGAACCTTTTACTTAAAGGGGCTCTTTCTTCCTGTAGTGTGTTATATAGGTTGTTGTGCATGTAATTGATCTCTAAAGGCTCAAATCAAGTTCCCTCCAGAGGAAGTTTCTTACACACTCCCCCCTGCCTTAAATTCCTCAATTGGACTCCTTTGCTTCCTTACTTAACATAATGACATCACTATGTAACAACCAGGCTAAGAGGCGGGACATCTCCTAGCAGCCAACCAAGCCGGCCAGCTGACCAATCAGAGCAGACTGGGCTCTGGTTTCAGACAGAGGGTGAAAAGAGGTGCTGCAGCACAGGCAGTATGAGAAAAATAAAGAGCTTTTTGAACATTAAAGCTTGGAGACATGTCACAGGAGAGGCACAAGATACAAATATGAAAATATGAAAATATGTCCTCTTTAAGTACAGCCTCTTAATACTTTTAAAAGTAATGTCTAAGAGCAACATTATGACTTGTGAAACACTTTAGACGGGTCTAAAATATGTTTTTGTAACCGGGCAGTTCTCACCATTCACTTCAGGAAGTGGCTCTTTTTCCACCACCTTGCTGTGAGCGTGTTTTCTGATCAGGGGCTGATTGTTTGTGGAGTTTGAAGCCGTGGGAATATCATTGTGACTTGTCGGTTGTGTTTCAAAACAATTAAAATAAAATAATTATTGTATAATCATAATTACCTGCTGTTTCATAAATCTACTTCATGCAGAGGCTGATGGATAATGAATAAGCCAAAACACAGATATGTGGAAGTAAATTAATTACTGGAATTAATAAACCTACAGTATCTGTCACTGAGATAAGTGATAATGTGATATGAAATGGGGATATAGGTATAAAATCATTCATAATTCAAATGTATTATGGGAAAATCTTTGGTTCTACTTTTTAGTTATGATCTTCACAGGTTTATCTGCAAAGATCTTGGGGGACTTTACAAACAAATGATAAAAACGTTTTTTTTATTCAGTTCAAGATATTTGTGATGATTGCCAACTATTACAAAAAATGTAGTGTCCACAGAGTTGATGCATGACCTTTAAAAAAAGAAAATGTATTTACTTTACCTGTCCAATTTCATTCTTGATGGCTGTATTCAGGCAAAGTGTTTCCTCTCTTTGAGTCGTGGCAGCGCTTCACGTCTCCACCTCAGGCTCTCAGCAGTCAAACTGTCAAATGTATACTGCAAACACAGAGGTTCCTGATGAAAGCACCACATGTCTATTTTCCAATTTTTTTAAAGATGTTTTTCGCCTTGTGTTGCTGTGTGTTTGTGTGACAGTTTATCTCTTTTTCATATGCAAATTAGAATGATAACTCTTGTTTTCACACACAAAATTAAACTATGTATGTCAAAACACAGCAAAACAAAAAACAAGTCAACATCAAATTGTGCATTTAGAGGTACAATTATTTGTGTTCAAATTTGACTTGGAATTAATCTAATTAAAATGGAATTAGACAGGTATAAAATACATTGAAATACATTTAAAAACAGTCCTTAAATAGCCCAGAGAACACAATCAAAATCAAACAAATTAAAATAGAATAAATACATTTAAAAAAAATTACAGAGCAGTGTAAAATATGAATAGTTATTTGAGGGCTGTGGGCAACACTTTTAAATTATGCAAATATCCCCGTGCTTGATTTCCCTATTTACTGTCTGTTTGTTTTCTGACCCTATTTAACCCTGCAGTCAGGTTTGTCTACAATGTCAGCCAATCATGATTACAAGGAAAACAGCGTCTAGTTTTTGAACAAGTGACAAAGTTTCCGCTGGGAATGTGAACATGACAGGCGGCTGTTATGAGGAAGTAAAGTGTGCCCAAGATACACAGCGCTGTTTACAGAGGAAGTATGGGAAGAGCTTATGGTGTGAATGGTCTCCATGGCAACTGTTGGCAACATGTCTATAGCTGTCATTGATGTGTGGTGAAGTGAAATGAAAGGCTGCTTTTCAAATAACTGAGGAAATCAAAACATCAAACCATCAAAAAGTGAGGCGTTTGTCTATTTAGTCTGCCCTCATTGATAGAAATGGGAAGGACTGAGTAATAATAATAACACCTGTCAGTGTAACACAATGCAGTCAAACAGCAACACAAACTGTCGCCTCCAAAAATATCATAAAGTTCAACACCACTTTAAAACCTGCCTTTTAATCCTTTAGATTTGTTATGCTCTTTTTGTAGGTTGCTCTGCAAAATGTTATGATAAGTAGGTGTTAAGGATTTGAACCTCGAAAATAGCTTCATGTCCAAAAGGCTTTTTGGGGGGTAAAAAATGACAACTTTCTCAGTGCGAAAAAATGCATTTCTCAAAATCCAACCAATTATTTTACATTTTGTCACAAAAAGCATACAAAAGGTTTGACAAAATCTAAGATGTGAACAAAAACCTCCATTTGATTCTTCACAGAGGTAAGTAGATGTATATGTTTTTGAGTGTATGATCCTGTGTACTGTTTTTATTTTCATTTTGTATACATGGTAGACCCATAGGCTGCCGTAGAAAAAAATATTAAATTTGAAAAAAACACAGTTATAAAGAATATGTACTCATAGGAAAAGTAAAAACTGTTAATACTGTGAACTGTTTTTTATTATGACATTCCTAAATGGGTGAATAGTTGCTTCAAACCACATGTATTATGTTCTCTAAACCCAACTACAGTATGACATCTTTAAATACTGCATATACATGTTAAAAAGGGGGCTTTAACTCAAGTATGACCAAGTACATTAACATTAAGAGTATTTCGTATGCATACTGACTTATTTTACTGCTTTACCAGTGTGAAATGCACTGACTGATGCTTAGAAATGCATTATTTGGCAAAATGTATGTGGACACATCTGTGAGTAGTTTTGGTCTAAAGGGCTGTACTTGATGGTTTGGGGTTGGCTCCTTAGTTCTTAGACATTTAAAAGGGAAGTCTTAATGCTGCAGCATACAATGATAATTTAGACAATAGTGTGATCCAGTGTTGTGGCAGCAGAGTGGGGAGGGCCCTTTCCTGTTTCAACATGACAATGCCCCTATGCACAAAGGCAGGTTCGTAAAAAAAAAATGCTTTTCCAGTTTGGTGTGGAAAAGATTCAAGACCATTAGGAAGGTAACATCGGCCAACAACAGCGATCAATCTCACTAAAGTGGCTAAAAGGGAGTAAATCCAAATATATTGTACAAGGCCTTTAAAGAAGAAAAAAAGGCTGATATTAGCATATTAATTACCTTTCTTTTGGAAAAATATGTTAAATAATATATATCATATTTTAATGTGCACATATTTTTGTTCCAGTGTCAGAGATTTGGACATGTTTAAAGTACGTAGAATAAAATAAAAGGCACCATTTACAAGTGAAAAGCCCCCATTAACATGTAGCTTTTTAATTTACTATACACTAGGGCACAACTTTTTGGCTTGTATATCATCTGCAGCAGCTTTTGGCCACACTACACATTGTGAACATTATATTGCTTGAAGCTCTGTGCAGGCCAATGCTGGAATGAAAATCATTAACATGCCAAGATAGGGTTTTGAATCCATCACAAGAGTACCTTGAATTTAATTAGCATTCTTTTACTAGTGTAGAACATGTACATATGTTTGTATGCATTAGTTTATTCTAAATTGATAATAAAGAGTATAGAGTAGGTTTGAATCAAAATCAACATCATAAAGTGATACAAGCTAGTAGAAAAATGGCCAATCAGGTGGTAGTGAGTTACAAAAACAAGAAAAGTTTCTATAACATGTCCTGCTGTGGTGAGAAAACTCAGCCAAAGAACATATTTTCCCAACTAAGTCAAAAAATCACAGCACACTCTGGATATTACAATAGCAGAAGCGAAACACGGCTTGACAGTCACAAAGTCTCCAGTCCACCTTAAAACTCAGCTCTGACAGACTGTTCATACACATTTCCTGAAAACGCCCCGTGGAAGGAGAAACAAAACAAAAAAAGGAAAACTCAAGTGACTCCGAATAATAATAATAAGGCTGCCTTGTTTATCCAACGAAGGGGGGTTGGGCATAGGCTGAATTCTGCCAAAACTTTTCAAAATTTCCCTTTTCTCCCCCCTCACTAAACTTTGTATCCACACTACTGCCTCAATCTCACCGACCCAAGGTCAGCGTCAGTGACCGCCCACGGGAACTGGCAACGCGGCAACAAACCTCCGTGGACCCCGGCTGGATTTCTTTTTTTTTTTTCTAACATGGGACTTTGAGTCACTGGCTGAATACACGACGGACCACCACAGACTGTAACAGTACGGATGGAGGAAGCCTCATAAACAAAGGAGTGAAATAGCCCGAACAAGTCAACTCGATGAGCGATAAACGCAGTGAAACCATGTTGGGAAACCCAGGGTCTTATGCGAACAAGAAGAGGAAGAAGCCCGTTCTCAAACAGTAAGACTTGTCCGAAACTCGAGTTGTGTGACTTATAAACTTTACTCTTGACTTTTTTTTTAAAGTTTGTGTCGCTATTCTGAGTAGATATGCGAAAGTATGGGCTTACATTTGGAAGTTAGGGTAAAGTTGAGTACGTGAACGCACCACCAAAAGAGCGTCACTCACTTTTAGTCACGTACATTAAGTGCTGTAAGTTAAACAATAAGGTGGGCGTTAAAAATGAATGTGCTTTCTTTTTAAAAGTTGTTACAAATTAGATTAGTTTACAGTCGGTAAAGTATCTGATCAGACGCCTTTGAGAAAATGAAGGTAAACTAAGTTAAGGTAGACCGTATCCTCCTGTAAACTTGTATCATGTCTTCATTAAATATCCATATTTCTAAAGTAAAAAGTTGTGATAAATTAGATTAGCTCACGTTATCATATTAGATACCGTTGAGAAAATGCAAGATAAATGAAGTTACATTTCGACCACATGCTCCTGTAAACTTTTATCATATCTTCATTATATATTCATAACTCGAAAGAAAAAAGGTTGTGATTGAATAACTTGTAACACACACCCGGTGAAGTGTGGTGTTTTGTGTGGAGGATTATGGTGTGTGCTGGCTTTGTTTCTCCTCTCCTCTGGACCACCTTAAGAATGTGTCTAGCTCGCTTGGATCTGGCATGGATATCTTGCCCTCGCGCATTAATCACAATCAAGTTGGAGAGTCGGCTGCTGCTCTCACGCGATGCTCCGAGGAGGGCGGGGGGAGGGAGAGGGCTCGCGGGTTCCTAGTATGTTATTGTAATCTGATATGGCCGTGTGTGTGTGTGTGTGTGTGTGTGTGTGTGTGTGTGTGTGTGTGTGTGTGTGTGTGTGTGTGTGTGTGTGTGTGTGTGTGTGTGTGTGTGTGTGTGTGTGTGTGTGTGTGTGTGTGTGTGTGTGTGTGTGTGTGTGTGTGGTGTGTGTGTGTGTGTGTGTGTGTGTGTGTGTGTGTGTGTGTGTGTGTGTGTGTGGTGTGTGTGTGTGTGTGTGTGTGTGTGTGTGTGTGTGTGTGTGTGTGTGTGTGTGTGTGTGTGTGTGTGTGTGTGTGTGTGTGTGTCGATGGCCAGTCCGCCCCTGTGTGTGTGTGTTACTCCTTTTATACCCCTCTAGTTTCTTACTTTGTAAAAGTTTGTTCCACAGCAAGCCATGATTTTACAGCTGAACTACACACATGCTGTATTTGTAGGCTACTAAACAGAAATCCTAGTTATTAGTCCCATAGAGGGGACAGCAAAGGGAACAGTGTAGGCTACAGATAAAAAATAAAGAGGCAAGCACACTAGGATAAAATAAAAAGTATGCATGCAGGGTAGAAACAGATAGGTAACAGTACTAATAATAGTCATACAAACAATAGAGAAACTGCATTACATAGGAAGATGGTTTTCAGGATGTACTTCATAATGAAATATACTAAAATACTAGTTAAAAACATTTTCAGTGCTGAATTATTGATGTATTATGCATTATGGTATTTTTTTGTCTAACTATTTAAAAACCATATTGGTAGTGTTGCAGTGTTATTTTTATCATCAATTATCCCCTAGAACTCTTTCTGGATTATGAAACTTCTCGAAAAAGAGGGAAAAAAGTCCATAACATTAACAACGGAGGCAGAAGTAAACAATAAACAGATATTTTCTCTGGAGTTGGAGGAGACCAAAATAGAGTGAATATTCAACATTAATCAGCTGACCTAAAGTTTTCTCCTTAAATGTGAAACTTAAAGCAAAAGTATAGTATAGTCACGTTGGTCTTCTGTTAATTAAGGCATATTTTCTGGTCTAAATGTTAACCAAAGACCGTACCCTCCATCATCGCTCAGACCACACAGTGCTATTACTTGACTATCTATTTCAATCAGGGATTAACAATAGCAAAAACAACTGAATCCAAGTTTGTTTAGATAAGTACTAAATGGAAAACATGTCGCGGCAATGAATGAGTTTTGACCATTTTAGCAAGTGATATTGAATCATATTTTTTAACACAGATGAGCGTTGAGTCTAGTATAAAGATATGTGTGCTTATAAGGGTCTGGCAATTTGGGTATTGGCTGTTCCCAGTGTCATTCCCAAAATAAAGAGGTGGCCTGTGTGTAGCCGTCTGTGGGTCTGAAGATGTGGGGCTGTGCAGCGAGGACTGAGGTTTCCTGGACAGCCAGCTGGGCTCAGCTGCACAAAGGCACCATTGAGCCTGACTGTAAAAAGCTGTGGTCACTACACAGGGGCATTCCACGGCAGATCTGGCCTACCAAATTCTGGCTTTTATTACCAAGGACGCCTTCTGTGTATGTTGCCAGTGTCCTCCGCCATGCGTCCAACTGCATTATTAAATGTAAAGTATTTTTACGTGCAACCAGAGAAAAGGTCCTCTGCTCTTACAGTAACTGTTTTAGTCCGTTTGCAAGCAATTTGTGTTTTATGTGTTTAACTGTTGTCTTGTGTCTTCCCTTGTCAAAATACAAACTCATAACTTCCTCATGTCATCACAAGGCGGCCACCTTAAGGTCTGTTAATGAATGCAGAACTGCCTCAAATTTGATATCCATTAGTGTGTACCCCCTTGCAAAAAGAAGTCCAATTGTATAGTAGTCTATGAGAAAATGACCCTACTTCTCACTTGATTAATTATCTCCGTAAATATTTTCCTGACAAGTTTATGGCCTCAATTGCTATAGTTTCAAGTCCTCTTCAATACATCATGATGTGCATTTTGTAAATTAAGGCCCCATTTTGATTGAAAAAGCTGTTAAAGAAGGGAATGCTGTGGTTCATGGCTTTGTGCTGCGGTGTCCAGTTCTTTGCGTTTTTGTTTTGATCTGCAAAAAATGTCTTGGGTGTTCTTTGCTCCACCCTCTTGTGTCACTCTGGTTGCAAAAAAACAAGATAGAGTCCAAAATGTAAAACTCTACAAAACCTGTAGTCTCCCAAATTGACAACTAAACAACAACAGAGGACGGTGATTTATTGCATAGCTTATGCTAATAGATTGCTGAATAACTAAACAAAACAGACAATTCATCTGGAAGTGGCTTATTCCTTTCTCAGCTTTTTACATTATGGTATTTCAACAGTAGGAGCACTCCTACAAGTTGCTGTGAAAATATGAGTTAATTATTGTGTATACGGCTCATGAAAGCCCCCCCCACATCGTACAATGGCAATGTGTACTTAACACTGAGCAAGTGGATTATGAGTTATAGGCTTTCTAGAATGACTAAGCATTTACTTTAGCAAACAATGGAGTCCTTAATAATAAAGGATAATAAAATTCACCAGTGCAAATGTTTTTTACACGGTAATCTAAGGGGATTGTGAGAAACGCACACACAGGCAGACGTGCTGATAAGAGGTTTGGCAGGAAGCCAGAACACTCCCGGTGAACAGCAACAAAGTTGCCCTTTGTTCTTTGCCCTTTGTTTCATTTCAAAGACGAGTCTTCACAAATACCAGTCTAACACTCTTACAGGAAAAATGTCTCCGTTTGTGAAATAAAACCTGTGTGTACAGCTAACAAAAGAAAAATATACATATACACATACACAATGCGTTATTGTTATGTTATTATCTCATTTAAATTTGAAAGCTGTAATGTTTCTCAAGCACCCTAATGTATAATTATGTCTGTCTGTCTGTCTGCGTGGTAGAGCAAGGCAAAGATAAATAAGTCGGCCATTAACTGTTGAAAGTTAGATCCCCGGCTGTTCTGGTCCACGTGTTGAAGGGCCTTAAAGGAAGTAACATAACCCACAATGCTCCTGATTTGTGTAGGTTTAGGGGAAAATGATGCTTAGTACAGAAGTGTTTGCCAAATAAATGTAATCTAAATAATGAATTGTGCCTAAAGGACACCAAGATAGAAGCACCCCCCCCCCCCCTCCCTTTCCCTATTGGCAACAGAATAGGCTCTTTCTCCTCTCTGGACAGAGAGTTCAGCCCAAACCAATCCCAGCCCGAGAGCTTTTAAAACCTTTGGTGCAAACGGGACCTGAAGCCAGTGTTTGAAGGGCTCTAAAGCGTTTGGGGACTGCCCTCTCCCAGAGGATGGTAGCTTCAATGGATCCACGGGGCCCCCGCAGAGTCGCAGCTGACAAACAAACATGCATAGAAACTTCTGCATCCAATTCTCCAATGTGTATCCACATGTTTCAAACCCTCTTCCACATTTATTGTTTCTGTAGGCACAGCTGAATAGATTATTTTGTTGTCACGCTATGGCCTCTGCATATTTCTGAAGCTCCCCTGGACGCAGCAATTGTAGCAGTTTATTGTCAAAGTGATCAGATTCTATCGGTCCTTGATTTTTTTATGCTTTCATGCTGCCTCTTAATTTAGTTTTATGCTGTATGATGCAACTGGAGAGCAGACTTGACCACATTTCAGGGTAGTTTTTATCTCAGCATGAGCATACTATACAAGTCAACTTTTAAGGTTATTCTTAAGTAGAGCTACTCTCGCTGAAACCCACTCATCATCTTTGCTTTGTACATTCATGGACAACATATGTTTTGTGTGAGTTTTCGATGCTATTTTTTACTTCTCTGTCTGGAAAGCTCTTAGGCCCGCTTTTGTAAACTGTCCTACTTATTCTCGAGCAGCCAAACGTGTATAGAAAGCACGCTTTTCCTACTTTTGATCCACTGAGTCATCCCTGTGGATCTGGCAGACACTCCGCCTGCCTCGAGCAGACAAATGTGTGTCAGTGTCATTACTGAGAGCTACATGGGGAGCCTTGACCCTGAGGCAGAGGTGATTGGTTTCAGATCTCTACTCTTTTGATCTTGAGATAAGTAAACTAAATACAAGTCTAAGGATGAGTTAAAACATCTGCCTCTCTCACAATGGACGTCCTGATGTCTGTTACTCAACACCATGATCCATAGCAAATCAAGGTGGAAAAATGGTGCTGAATGCTGGCTTTTGTCTCCGCTAGGCATTTCTCGAGAGTGAGATCAGTGCTGCTCTATTTCTGAGACGGTACAGCTCGGGTCTGAAGCCAGCAATCAAGTTCAGGCTGCATTCCCTGCAGACTATTCAGTGGCAGAGGAGGAAACTTTATAGCCTATCATTAACCAAAGTTTCGGTAAAGAGTGAAATTTAGGGAGGAATTTAGGCAGGGAATTCGCAGCCTGAAACTGCAGACATGCTTTGGTAGTAATAGACCTGGATAAGCTGTTAATGCTTAGGATGTGTTTCAGGGCTGAAACCAATAGATTTCATGTGATCAGATTTGGCGGACAGATCACTTATTGGTTCGTGTTAACAAATATTTATAGAAATGGCATCTGAAAGAGCCACAGCCTGTACCTAATGTTTTAGAGTTACTCATAAGACTTTTAAACACATGTATAACAAACGAAAGATCTTGTTTGCTCAACTCCAATGTCTTTTAGAGTTTAATGAGTGGCCTAACGAACATTAGCATAAAAAGTAGTCGGAACTCGCAAAGAACAAATAATACTTATTTCTGAGTGCTGACAAGTTTACAGATGTATTGTAATCGTTAGGGATGTCCCGATCACCTTTTTTTGCTCCCGATCCGATTCCGATCATTTGATTTTGACAATCTGCCGATACCGATTTTTCCCGATCCGATCTTTATGCAATGCATTAAGAGAAAAAAAAGGTAACAGATAACGGCTGGTCATCCAACGCGATGAATTCAGCTATCTTGGCTGTTATTTTGTTGGCCTTTTCACTGTTCTGGGGCAGTTTCTCTTTCCTTTTAAAAGTCTCTGAAAGTGTCGGTTGTTTCAGTGCCGTTACCTGAGTGGCCGCTGTGTACTCGTCGTTTTGTTGTTGGTGTTTGTTTCTCAGGTGGCGTATTAGATTGGTCGTGTTGAACGTAGCTCTGTTCTTTCCACCACGCGGAACCTCCGCCTTGCAAACATTGCATCTGGCTGTTACACTGCCTTCGCTTTCAATTTTATAATACTTCCAAACTCCTGACATTTTCTCTGTCCCGACTCCCGAGGCACCAGCTGAACGTAGCCTCTTGTTAGCTTACTGCTACTATTATGCCGCAGTTCCACTACACGGTCGGCCTCGGCCACGCTCGGTACGGCTCGGTACGGCTTGGCCGCGTTGGGCCGACTCACTTCATGCTGCGCTTCCATTACAGTTTAGGAACTGGGGTAGTTACTATAGTAACGCAGTGTAGGCGGAGCCGTGACGTCATCTTCAATGAGAACTCCAGAAAACACAACACAGCCGTTAGCTGTTAGCACTCAGAGCTCACAGCTCCTTATATATGTTCAGAAACTCGACAAAAGTTAAACAAGTACACTCCACAGACTGCCTGTGTCATGGTGAATACAGTCGCTGCTTTATTTATGTCTGTATAGGCCGTTGTTGTGAGTGTGGACGGTCGGAGCATATACTGCGTTAGCTTAGCCAATTTCCATCTAGAAAAACACGAATTTTAAAAGGTTTTTCGCCTGCCGTCTATCTGCAGACTTGACAAAGCATTAATTCATGGTTTTTACTAACCGGTATCAGTATGTTGTTACTTCGGCATCATTTTGAAACGTGTATTACAATTAAATCACGGTCAAATATGTCCATCTTGTTGTAGTTGTAGCCCTCTTGCCAGCGCTCCTCTCTCTAGTTTAGCATACTCAGCCCGACTCAGCCCTGTTTGTTGGCCCCGATAGAACCACAATTTTGTCGGGCCAGAAAAGAGGTGAAAAAGTGGCCCCGGGCCGTAACTAGGCCTAGTGGAAGCGCAACCAAAAACGGGTATGGCACGACACGGCACGCTTAAAGCGAGCTCCGCGCTGTAGTGGAACTGCGCCATTAGACACTGCGCCCTGCCCACTCTGTTGCCAGATTTGAGAGAAATAAGCAACCAGGTCTATGAAAACAAGCCCAAAAGAAGCAACACATACATGATGTTGTCTAATTTTAAACCAAAACTAAGGCCTCAGGATGACTTTAAGACGTGAACATGGTCATTTTTGTTTTGTAACATTAAATAAAAATAATAAAAATATTTTATAAAAAAAAAAAAAAGAAAAAAAATTCCCGATCCCCAATTTTTTTCTCCCGATTCCGATCTTTTGAAAATCACGTGATCGGCTCCGATCCCCGATCACGTGATCGGATCGGGACATCTCTAGTAATCGTGTCTCGTCTGTTATTGTCATCATACCATGGATTTTGAAAATACATTTTTCTATGCATGTTAGCACTCTCAGATGACAGATTTAAATCAAAATCAAATCAAATGTATTTATATAGCAGTTTTCATACACAATAGGTAACGCAAAATGCTTCACGAACCAAAAGTAAAAACCAAACTGTCATTGAGGGGATGCAATGATTGGGTTTCTGCACAGAATCAGTCTACACTTCTGCTGTCGTCAATGTGGACTTATCAAAGAGAATTAAGCATCTACAATTAGTCTCATGCTCAACATGTGAGTGGTGGCTTAATAAATGATCAGTCTGACCGACAGTCGCCAATAAGTTTGTTGACCTCCATAATTCATATTTCATAATAAGAATTGCTTTCCCAGTGCAAACAGAGAAGCTATTGTCAATACGTAGATTAAAGACATGTTTTTGGCAGAGGACATGGCACTTGGTTTGTTCAATAAATGTGGTTAAAGTACACTATGGGCCGTGCTTATTAACATCACATTCGTCTCATTTGCTGAATAACCTTGTTATCTCGTTAGACCCCACCCACGCACGCACACACACACACACACGTCACACACACACACACACAAAATGACTAATTCATGTTAACTTTGGTACTTAATTAATTCAATTAAAAAAAATAACGTAATCATGTTTAATTTTGTTTCATCTAATTTATATTTTTGCATTTTGATACTAAACAGACTAAACTAAGTTATCAAATAAATCGACCAACCGAAAAAGTTAAGAATGATGAGTCAGTCATAAATGGGATTTGATACACTATATATCTTCATGCTATCATAGTTTGGTGTAGTCAGATGCTTATCGTACTCTGAGACGTATCTTTCCTTATTTCCTGTCAGTAATGAACTGCCATGTCCATATTAGCAGTAAGTGTTTTTCTCAGCAGGTCTGTGGTGGAGGAATGACGACAGTTGTTATGTGTCGTCCCGTCCCACCCTCTCACTGACACTTGGTTTCTCTCCCGGTGTAGCATGTGTGTCTGATTTGTGAGTAATGAGTCCTCGAGCCATGTGAGTTTGCATGTTGCACTGGAGCATGGGTGGTCTCAGACCCCGTCGCCCTTAAAGTGAGAGGCAGGCAGAGAAAATAAAGCCGCTGTCATGTTGAAAAATGGTTTCCATTTTGAAAAACGACATAAGTGGTCAATGGAATGACTTGTGGTAACGTTGTATATTTTGCATGCTGGTGTCTGCTATTTACTCTTGGCTGAAGATTGTGTCCTTGAGGAAAAGAAACATGGTATTGTTTTCAAGTTAAGAGGAGAAGATCTTTTAGCTTGTCCATCCTTTCTTTTCTCGCAGATGCTAATGTTAGCTTAAGCAGCTAAACTGCAAAAGTGTCAATGGTTTTATTAGGAGTCAGATATCCAAAGTTTAACATTACCAGTAGTTTCTCTTTATTAACATGGTTGGTAGATTTTTTGTATTTAATGTTTTGCTAATCAATTCCATTTTACTATATAAAAACAAAAGTTAAGTAAGAAGTTGACTTTTTTGAACATCACCTTTTGTTGTTTATTTTTTTATGAAGAACAATTGTATAATGTTAGGTTTGGGATGCTTCCTTTTCTCTTGCTCCATGTCCACTTAATATCCTGTCCACAACTGCAAAGACAAAATGTAGGGGTTTTATTCGCTTACTTAGCTGGCTGGCTATGTTGTGATTGGTCAACCGCTGAGAGATGTCCCGCCCCTTAGCCTATCACATTCAATCTGTTGGAGTGCCAGCCAATAGAAGCATGAGTGTTACGTAGTGATGTCTCTATGTTACAGAAGTAGACAAAGGAGTCCAATGGAGGCGTTTCAGGGGGCGCTGTAGGGGAGAAAAACTTCCTTTGGAGGGAAGTTTGGGATTTTAGCCTTTGCAGACCATTTTCATGGAAAGGGAAAACCCCAAAAAGCACATTAGAGCCTCTTTAAAATCCGACTTCAGCTTCAAAAAGTTGATTGACCATATATCAAACATATCAATCATATGATTTAACAGCACGGGACAATCAAACACAATGCTACTTCCTGTTTCTATACCAGTGAGTTTCTATCTGCTATTTATAGAGTCAAGCTAATCTTTAACTGTTGTTTTGATCAAAGCTAAATAAGGATCTTGTCATTTCTTTAAAACATGTTTATTTTTTTAGCGTGTACAAGTTTTCTTTTATGTGGCTTTGACAGCATTCCTGTATCTTAAGTCAACATTGGAGCTGATGTCCTGTTGACTCACCTGAACTACAGTGTTTATTAGTCACTCACAGATGTAATGGCTGCGTTTTTATTCCCTTAGTATGTTTGAAGCTGTTTGATGCGTTACTAAAAGTACACGTGGCTTATATTTAATTGGCATGTGTCACAATGCACACCACACCAGATGGTATGACTGGCACGGCCAGTTGGCCAGGCCTGAACTGAATCAGAGTCTAATCTCAATTAACTCTTCAATTACTTACCATGTGTTTTATGTTCACTCCACAGAAAGAAGCAGCCTGAAAGAAATGAAGTTGTTAAATCAAACCCTTCGAAGCGCCACCGGGATCGGCTGAATGGGGAGTTGGACCGGCTGACGGAGCTCCTGCCGTTCAACGGGGACATCCGCTCTCGTCTGGACAAACTGTCGGTGCTTCGCCTCAGCGTGGGTTACCTGAGGGCCAAGAGCTACTTCAAAGGTAAGCATCAACCTGGGTCCTATAGCAGCCAGCGCTAAAACAATCATTTAACTGATCTGAGTGAAACATATTCAAACGTTAAGGCTGTGCATCCGACAGCCAAGCCAGGAATGAGAAGCATGCAGGAATCTGGTTTTCGGAAACAACACGTCCTCAATACTTGTAACGTTATGCCACCCTTTCACCTAGCAACACTTACAATAGGCTCTATAACAAAATAGTTATGGATGTGTAGAAAGTCAACACTATGAGTTGATTAATCTTGCAGACATCCTGGCTGTGAAAGCCGGATGAATCATGATGTGTGATTCAATTATACGCGAGTCACGCACATAACATCTCCACCACCCGCAGATTATTTTGCTGTTGTTGTCTTTGAGTCAAACAGACATTTTAGTCGAGGTGTTGGCAGACTGGCTGCTGAGTAAGCTGCCTGGTTGCCTCTGGCTTCACAGAGGTTGTTAAAATTCATGTGTCTCGCTTCGTTGCTTTTTTGAAACATTTTCTGTGCATTGTTTAGCCTGTGGCATCTGGTTGTTTGACCTGTTGCACTGACTTTCTCCTTCAACGAAAACCCTGAATCTCACATGAATTGGTGGCTAGATAGTGAAGTAATGTGCACGCAAGATAGACATCTTTATAGTCTTATTCATTATCTTACACATATCTTTACAGCAGTTGCTTCATCACTGCAGCAGCCGTCCGTCTATAATGTCTTTTTTACAACCTGTTATTACACAGCTAGTTTAACATGGCTAGCGATGAAAGACAAACCTAAAACAGGCAAACTAAATCAAAACGTGTGAAGCTGCAGACTGTAATGAGCCATGTTGTAGTTGTGCAGCGTGAACATCCAGCATGAATGGATGAGTTGCGTGCAGTTGTGACATTCCAGCGCTGCTTGTTCTCACACCCTTTTGCCTACTTCTTGTCTAAGCAGGCGAGATAGACTCAAGTACACAATGTCATCTTTTTAGAGAGCAGTTTCAATAAAGTGTATTTATCACTTAGCATTTCTCAAGGATGTCTCCTAGATCTCTCTGAGATGTTTAACATGCAGCTGGTGGATAACAGGAACTATAACTCATAGGTAGTTTTGGCTTGATCCAAGTAAAGAAATGTTTTTTTGAAACGTTTGCCAAAAGTAAGTCCGCTTATGTCTCTCTGTTCTTTCATTACCATGTACAGAATTTATGACATTCAAATAAGTGGTTGTGAATCATCAGAAAAAGCTATTTTTCCATACAAGGAATGTTCTACATGGTTTTTCCTCTTCTGTATGTATATATAGACAGACAGCACATGTGTAATATCAGTGGAGTCATGTCAAAGTCCCATCAAACACCTGGGGCGAGATGTTTTATTCATCCTTTAACACTCAGACCATGCATTTCTCACACACTCTAACATGATGATAAATGGGGAACATGCAGTCATTTGTTATCTTCACACATACTTCACACAGTGCCAGAAAAGGGCTATAAAAAGAAGTGCAAATTTAAGATGAGAGGTTATTTCTAATATCTGAAGTTCAGTTTGGTGCAGCTTACACCCCACGCTATTTACGTTCCAAAAAAGAACAAAATGTGCATGAGGCTTTATGAATGTGATGAAAGGAATGGTATGAAATGTTCTGGTTTAGTACATTAAGCCTTACATGTTGTTGTGTAAAAGCCTAAGAACAGTGTGTCTCTCTTGAACTCTCCATGGCAATTCGAATGACTTTTAAAAACGTCTTAATATGCTTTTTTTGGGGGGGTTATTCCCTTTCCTGTGTTATATAGGTTTAAGTGCCTGTTAATGGTCTGCAGAGGCTAACATTCCAAAGTTCACACCAGAGTGTCGTCACTATGTAACACTTGCGCCTCTATTGCCTAGCGCTCCAACATATTGTACGTGATAGGCTAAGGGGCGGGACATCTCTTAGCGGTTGACCAATCACAACAGAGCCGGCCAGCTAACCAATCGGAGCATACTGGGCTCTGGTTTCAGACAGAGGGTGAAAAGAGGTGCTGCAGCACAGGCAGTATGAGACAAATAAAGAGCTTTTTGAACATTAAAGCATGGAGACATGTCCCAGTGAAGACACAGAATAAAAATATATATGAAAATGTGTGATATGTCCCCCTTTAATAATGACAGACTACTGCCCTCCTCATTTAACTATATTCTTATCCTACTGCTCTAAATGTAATTTATTAGCTTTAGTCAAAGTCAACCTAAATGATGGCTCATGTTTTTCTCTTAGAAAAGATTTGTTAGTTTTTAAAGGTCTGTGCTAATTTAAATGATGTGGTAACGGTGCATATCTAATCCTTGTTGGTTGTGAATGCAGTGATGCATCAGCTGACTGGTCTCTTGATCACAAATACACTTTAAAACTGTGGGAATCGCTGACAACTGCAACATGTTTTATATTCAGTGGTTCTTTGACGAACAATGACCTTTATTGAAAACCCTTTTATAAGAAATACTCAACTTTAGCCTCTAACTGCAGATATAGGACTCACTTTATTCACGGCAGATATTTCCCAGCAGTTTCTCAGTGTTTATGCCCTGACACTACTCTTCACCCTCTCCTTGAGTTCATTTGACATCAGCAGATATCAGGCACACTGAGAGTGGGTCTGTGCTCTGCAGCAGTGGAGTGCAGGATCAAAATCACATGTCGCATCACACAGCCCATGTGCAGCCCATCTCCCCATAAATAACGCTGCTTTGTCACTGTGGATCTTTGCTTACTGGAGGCCATTTCACATGTTTAGTTTATGTCGCTGTCACAGCAGGAAATGATATGTTCTGTTACTCATTGGTTTGTGTAAATACATGTAAAATGATCCAGTGTTGGCTAATAGTTAGACAGATACTCAAGGTCAAATGCGTTGCTAATACTGGATCATTGTTCGCTTTTGTTTTTGACTATTTGTCTTTTAGTTTTTCCTGCTTAGGAGCCTTGTTGGTCATTGGACTCCATTCAAATATCCTCATTGTTGTCTGAAATAACGACGCAGCACTCTGCAGGCTGTTAGCTGGAAGAACAGGAAGTGTGTTGTAGCTTTCAGAGCATCGATAAAAAATAAGAAAACAATGGAAGAGGTCATGACATTAACAGAACATCTCTGGTATGTTTACGGGTGATAAAGGGCCATTCAGTGTGTTCACAGGCCCTTTTTATAACACGGACATCTCAGTTCTGGTGCTTATCACTTTAACTCACAATACTGCTTTACCAATTTCACACGTAAAGGTCAGTTTCCCAGTCATAAGGAGCGCTATCCAGCCTTTGATCAATGTATAATGCCCTCTTTGTCCGATACAATGATTTAAAGTGGACCTATCATGCTATTTTTAGGCAATAGCATAGGTCTCAGATATATAAAAAACATGTCTATGAAGTTTTTTGCTCAAAAATACCAAACAGATCACCCATTCTAGCCATGCCTCATATCCCTCTATTTCACTCCCTGTTTCAAAAGGTATATAAAGGGGTATAAAGCTTTAAAAAAATAAAAAGGAGGGGGCTGAGCTCATGCGGGATGGGCAGCTACTGTCTAAACTAAATACTGCCGTGATGAAACGCCATATCATGGATTATCAAGGATTATTTCTGAGACACTATGGAGCTCAAAGGCTTTCTCTCTCGCCGGTTATACCACAAGGTGAGTTCCTTTTTATTTCCTGCTTCTTTACACATGTGCTCTACAGTACAGGTTAGCTCTGAGTGTTAGCGATGCTTGCTAATGTAAACAAAGGCCATATTACGTCCAAAACACGTCGGGCATTGTTTCTGATAGCAACTTTCGTGGGTGCCATCCGCTATGATGTCATAGTGGATGGCAAATCTGGATCAGCTCCGTTGTAGCCCCGTTTTTAGAGATTTGGGTACGGAGGAAAAGAGAGAGGGTTTTATTTTCTGACGCTGCGTGAGTTTCCTGACACACCGGGGACACATATTTATATATATAAAAGACATCAAAAAGTGCATTTTGCATGATAGGTCCCCTTTAAGCTTTATCAGCAGATTTTAGTTACTAACCGGGAACATTCATTCACAAAGTTGTTGACGTTTTCCTGGCAGGGAAAGTTTGCTTTTGGTAATATCTTTTCAAATGTAGAATAAATGCTTATCTCTGCTCCTTTCAGGTTGTACTATTCTGCCTTTGATCTGTCTCTTGTGAGCCTTCTAACTATATGGAAATAAATCAATATACTATGCCGTTAACTGCATTATCATGTATGTGACATTTCCTCTGATTACTGACAGTCAGGGGGTCAAATCTGGGTCACACACATCAGCCGACCCTCATGACACTCCTCCTGACCTGAGAGGGGGGGAAACCCTGTCTGGCTATCATGGGATCTTTATTAAGATATTAATTAAGTCATTTTAAACTTTGACTCAGTAGAGAAAGAGTCCATGTGTGGGTGGGAAAGAACAAGAGAAAGCAGACTTAACTTGTTATTATGTATTGTAATTATATGGTTTAGCAGTAAATTGTAGCACTGCAGACTGGAGTCTCTACTAAGAGTCAAATTAACTCACGATAGTCGCATCACATGAAAATGTCAGACGGTTGTCTCCTGTATAAGGTGATAAGGTGATAGTAGGGTGTGGATTAAAACAGAATGCACCTGAATGTTTGTACACACATAACCGCACGTCACATGGACACACATCCGGTATCCCCTGTCCTATAGGCATTGTGACTTGTGATATGTGATATGATATGCAGAGTTGACCATGCCAACTTTCCCCTTATGTGTGATGCGGCTGTTTGATAAGCGCACAATGGAAGCCAAAAACAGTGTGTTGTTCCCCATTGGTTGGGATATTGGGTTGTAGCATCATGTATCCAGCTTTGTGTGTGTCTTCTTTCAATAAAGTCATCAACAGATTTGATGAATTCAATGTTATTTCCAACCATGGTGTACATTTCTCAGATACTGAAGACATAATTTCAATCAGGAGAGATGTTTTTGATGTAAGAATACATATTTAT